GACCGGAAGAGGGCATAGGTAATCTCTCCCGGATAGAGAGATAAGTCGGATGTAAATCGCGTATATGTGTACCATAAGTCTATCGGACGTGTAGTGAATCCCATAAATTAGTAGGGTGGATATTTGTGCAATTATTCTGGACGGCCCTGCGATAAGTATCTTTGTCGCCGGTTAGCGGAGCATGCAAATGGATTTCGGAAAGAGACATTTATCTCGCCGGGGAGATCGTCGTCAGCCAGACACCTAACACCATCGGAGGGAATTTGAGGGGCGCTAAATAAATTTGGGTGAATATATGACGAACGAAAGTAGAGAGAGGATGAGAGTGAGAATGGTAAAGGATGAATCTTAGGATAAGGCCGATGGGAGTTTAGCGAAGCTCAGTTAGGACAGTCAAACTAATGACCCTCGAGGGCAACTAAACTATAGCAACGCTAATACGAATTAAGTGGGCAATTTTCGTAATGGGGAGGCCAGTGATATAGGAATGGGTGACTGGACGAATGATCACATTCAATTAATCAATGTAATTACCACCCATAAGTTTGGCAGTGGTCATCGGGACTTCGAATGCCCTGTCCTTCACCTGCCCAACTGTGCCGCAAACCCAGCTGATCGGATCCCTCTATCCCTAATCCGAGCAGTGAAGAAGCATCTCGTACATCATGGTCTATACAATGAACAGAATCATCAAGCCTCTAAATTTAAAAGCATCTTCCATCAGATGTATTTGTATGCAAGGTGGATCTGGACTTACATCTTCCTCAGGTGGAGATCTACATCTCTCAGGTGGATCTTCATCACCATCTGGATCCCTCTCTATAGCTATCTCAGGATCTCTTCAACGACTCTCAGGTTCCCCTGTATCACCAGCTCTACTACCGAAAGCATTACAGCAGCGAATTATTCTCTCTGCTACAACAGCCGAACAACAGTGGACCGCAGTATTTGATGAACCGCAAAGAAGATGAAGCTTTTTAACTCCTTCTTTCTTCTTTTCTCTAAATCCCCTCGCTACATACCTACCTAGGGAGAAATGCCTCGCCCCGGTGCGTTGATATGTTGGACAATGGCATTTTTCTCAATCTGCAACCTACCGGGATTTATTCATCTCCTCAGGACGGTACTGCTCATTATTAGAACTGGCGGGGACATAAACATTCGAATGTTGTTGTCAACATTGTCCCGATATATAGGGAATTACGAATTGTGAATTGATCCCTATAAAAGATTCGATTCACTTCATAACTCCCTAATCCTTTCATAACATTATCATCTTAATTTGACGCGTCGCTGCACTGTATTATTCAGGGGCTAAAGTGTGCATTTGTGCGCTGTGGTGATCTTTTAGAGACTGTTGTACCGACTGGAATTTAGCGACCACTGTCCGTTTTAGAGACCGTACGGTCGGCGGCGGGCGTCCCGATCCTCGCCTGGGGCGGAGAGGGGAGCGCGCGTCCCCCTCCGCCGCATTCCGTCCGTCCCATTCACTGCCCGCTCGCGGTGTGCGGAGAGCCGACCGAAGTGTCGAGTGTGTGCCGTGCGGTGACATCTGCCGTCTCCTCTTCCGACCTGAAGGTAAGTTTCTGCCATGCTGTATTGCTGTGTAGTGTGTAACAGTAAAAAAAAATGTTCTCAATATTTGCAGCATTACAGACAAAAAAAAAAACGGCGCCGAAACGTTCACTCAAAAATAGCTGATCGAAAAAATAGCTGAAAAAAATAGACATTTAAATGTCTACTATCACATACCAGAGCGCATTAGTAGCGTCGACGCTACTACATAGTAGCACACAACATTAATTCAATATTAAAAATTGGTTGAATCCAGGTTGATTGTCAACATTGAGGATCAACCGTTTTTCGACATCGATCCAGCATTTATTTCACGTTGAATTTGCGTTGTAAGTGGTTGATAGGAGATTGATATGCAATATTGTGATACAACATCAAAACAATGTTGTATGCCGATCACTTTGTATTGCGTTGTACGAGGGGGTATCGAAAAGTTCTGATCATCACATAGAAGATATAGACCGATTTTGATGATTTTTGGTTGGTATTATATTTGGTTCTTAAGAACAATGCTCCCGCAAAGAGAATCCTGAGAAGTGGTTTTATCTTATGTAGGAGAGACTTAGAAGTAAAAAAGATGAGTATTGGGCCCATTGAGGACCGAGCCGTCATCCAACTAATGCATTTGAAACGGTATCACACTGAGAAAATACATCAAGAACGTGAAATTAGTTGATAACGAGGAAAGTCCATCTCATGCACTTACCGAAAATGAAGAAATAATTTTCAACTTGGTTGCATGGCCCTTGCAGGGGAGTCAAGAAGTGAGTGACTACCAGTGATTGACAAGGTGGTGACTGTGAAGGAAGTGGAGGACCTCATCCTTACAGATCGTCGCGTGGCCTTTCAGATGATTGTGCAACAGAAAGGTCTCAATGCTGGCAGTGCCTGAAAATATTATTAGCGAAGAACTATAGACGATAAAGGAGTCAGCCCGCTTAGAAGTTCATGTGTCTTCTTTGTTCAAGAGAAAAATGCGTCTTGGCCTTTCGAAATGAAAACTAGGTCTTTTTTTAGGAAATTGAAGACATCTTCGATCATTTGATGACTTGTGACGAATGCTGGGTCTATGTGTATGATCCAGAGACAAAAAGATGATCAAGAAGTTTAAGCACGGCACATGTTGTCCTTCTTAAAAGGCGAAGATGCAGAAGCCGATATGGAAGGTCAATGCTATCAGTGTTGTGGATCTGGCGTAGGATAGTCATTACCGACTGCCTTGTTGATGGTCGGATAATGATAAGCAAGCACTACTGCACACTTTTGAAGAAGTTGCGAGATGGCCTCAAGCAGAATCGCCGCCAAAAGCCCAAGAAAGATGTTTTATCCGCACTGACAGCGCCCCCGCCCATTCGTCCTGAGCTGCGATTGAAGAAACAACATGATGTGGACATTAAATCCTACCGCATCTAAGAAATTCACCTGACCAGGTATTAACTGACTCTTAATTGTTACGGGAGATGAAGAATCCACAGTATGGCCAGTGATTTAAGGACAGAAATGACGTCATTGATGAGGTGGAGCAGTGATTTACGGGACAGTGCGAGGGTCCTACAATGACCGCCTGAGGCAGCTCAAGAAACGATGCAATAAGTTTGCGGTCGTGTGTGTAGACTTGTAAAAGAGTAATGAACATCATGTAAAAAAATCAAATTTCTATCACATCTAATTCATGGTGATGGTCAGAACTTTTCGATACCCCCTCGTATGTATCACTTTTATGCCGATTAGTTACTTTCGACGGCAGGGGGCCCTTCAATCAATATACATATTATCATTGTAACATGTGAATATCCACCTTGTTACAGGAACGCAGGATGCGAGGATCGTCGGGCGACACCACCACTCGAGATTCGTAGATCGATGGACGCGGCAGTAGCCGCGACGCGACGACGTGTGTCGTAATGTGACGGGATGTGACCCGGAATTGGCTGTGTATTTATCCCAGAAATACATTTATTCCGAATATTGACTTTGTCGGTAACGCGGGAACTCGTGGGTCTTATTAGCATTCCTGGTCAACCGGCTCAAGATTCCCGAGTTGGAGATGCCCGAGTCGGAGGTGTGCTGAGCGGCTCAGCACAATAACAAGATGCGGAATACTTATAAAATGGCGAGTGTGGTGCCCTGTACGAGTTCCTTTACGATACCCTGTATGACACCGTGCACGGTACCCTGTACGACACCGTGCACGGTATCCTGTACGACACCGTGCACGGTACCCTGTACGACACCATGCACGGTATCCTGTACGACACCGTGCACGGTACCCTGTACGACACCGTGTACGGTACCCTGTACGACACCGTGCACGGTACCCTGTACGACACCGTGTACGGCACCCTGTACGACACCGTGTACGACACCGTGTACGGTACCCTGTCCGACACCGTGCACGGTACCATGCACGACACCGTGCACGGTACCCTGTACGACACCCTGTAGGAACCCTGGTAACAATTTCGTCAAAAATCCTGTAGGGTCAACCATACAGGGCTACCCTGTAAGATTTTTTCACTAGGGTATCCGCCCCCCCCCCGTCGGTGCGCGGGTTAACGAGCTTTCTGCCAAGTTTTATGCGGATCATTCTTAGGTGTTGCTTTTATCCGCTGGGACTGAGAGCGTGAGATGATGTTTTTCGTACTCCAACGTAGATGGGTAGCCATTCGGCTGCCACGGTTGACAGTGATGACATCAGTCATCTTTTGTCATTGTCAGTCATTGAGTTGGAAATGAAAAACTGGCCATAAAACATGCATCGCACAACCTTGGTAATGTTGGGTTCATGTAGTGACCCTTGGTGACCTTTGGTGACCTGACCTGTGACCTGACCTGGTATGACCAGTGACCTCTAATAGCAACATATGTACTAGACAACTGACGCCTTATCGCTGATTTTCGACAAAATGCGTTTTACTCGGTGTTATAGCTCTTTCCCTAGAAGCCCCGTGAACGATGAAACATTTTATCTTTGACCTGACCTGTGACGTCATCGGTGACCCCGAGGTCAATAAAATTTGGTTTCCTTCGACAATTTGACAGGGCTATCGAACGCCGTTTGAATTTTCCGGATCCGTCCAGTAGTTTGGGAGATACGGGGGGGGCAAAACAATGCCCACCCACCCACCGCGCGGAAGGTGGCCGGGAGGCCCACCGCCTGCCGGGTTAATCCTAAATGCCAAGCGAGTTACCGTTCGATGTGCGTGACAATGACACATTGTCACCTTGCCATGTACACGACTGCTCACGTGTTGTGGGACCTATGTAGTCTATATGCGACAAGAATGCGACTCTCAGTCACGATATTTGTCACCGGGTGCACCACATTTTGTCACCATTTACAATGGCACAACGGCAACTTTTTTCAGCCCTCCGCTCTGCATGTAATGTGATTAAAAAAAAAGAAGTGAGAATACAAATCTGACCTGGATGAAGTTGTTCCTCTTCTCCTCGTTCCAAAAGGTCGGATGGTTAGCCACGTACTTGCTTGATGGTCTATCTTTTGGTAGTTGCCGTATCATTTCTGCGATCAGCGTCTTCCCTGATCCCTCTTGTAAAGTTTCCAGGCTGAAAAAATAAATAATTAAAATAATTAAATCCTTGCGGTTAAAGGGGGACAGGTGAAACCCCTCTTTTTCGCAATAACTCGCAAGAGGTGGTCGATCGCGATGAAAGTTTTAGTACTCCCGAGTAGCCAGGAGCCTGCCACTAATAGGGTTAAATTGAACTAACCCTCGCCGGACCTATTGGTTTTCTACATACGCGCCGGCCGAGGGGGCGCGTATGTACGACCCTCCTCTCCGTTTCGGAGCCCACCCCCCCCCCTGTTATCTCGAGAACCAATGGTCGTATCGAACCCCGCGAGGCGGCGTTCGAAAGGTCTCTACGAGACTTTCCCAAAGCACTCTTAAGATTTTAAGATTGAGTTCAACTTTCGGGTCAAGGTCAGGTCAAAGATCAAATTCTGAGGTTTTGCATGATTAGGCTTACGGACAGCGGAATCGATAGCTGCTGCTCGAAACTCACCAAAAATGACCTCAAAGACCTAGTGAAGGTACCATGTGCGTATAGGGGTCATACTAAGAACGGGTCAAGGTCAGGTCAGGTCACGAAAGGTCACGGTTTTAACTTTCTGCTACATGGGCGTGCGACGTATGTTTTATGGCTTATTTTTTCACGCCGAATCGGATGGAAATGGTTATATGTGACCCCAAGTCATTATGCTGGTGATAAGTGTGCATTGAAAGCATAAAAAATCGTTTATATGATACATATCTAAACGAGGATAAGAAAAAAGGTCAATTTTTCAACTCTTTGCTTTTGACATAGGATTGCACTTTTCTAGACGAACTTTGTCCCAGGAATCTAGTGGTGCCATTTGTTTTGACATGCGATGTCTGGGAATCAAAGCTCTCCCATCTTCATCACAACCGGGAAACATTCGAACTTCGAATTGGGTTTATTGCGCCATTGAACTCTGACGCAGCAATCACCCACCGGTCTCCCATCACAGGCACGGGAGCCATCAAACCAACAACTGACCGCCACGCAGTCACACAAATCCAACTCAACAATGCAACGTCATCGCCGCACTCGTCTCAGCTGCGCCGTTCACGTGTCAACCCCGCCACGCTGACAACACCCAAGAGCTATGCTACGCACGTCCTGTCCTCTGTCTCATCTACCTGTAATTTGTGGCTAAGAGTTGTGCCACCAGGCGGCAGCACCCGTCGGCCTATAGCTGTCGCCACTGCCGCACCGATCAATGAGCGTACGGTTCTCCAGTAAAAGTCTTGTTGGTTTTGCTTTTTCGGACATATCTGGTCCTATATAATATTCAAATGCATAAGTATCAACCCGAATTATGTGTATGCACATTTACCACGAGACTGTGAAATTGCATCGTTATATGCCAAATACTTTCCGAGATATTCACCAAAAACCTCATTTTCTGCCGTTTGGGGTATTCCGGCCGCAATCTTCCTGGGGTCGCCTATGACATCAGTAGAGCCATCTAACGAGAGGAACGCGGCAACACAGAATCATGAATGAATCGAGTGCGTAGTAAACGGTGCATGAAAGGGAGACTCGGCAGAGGCTATCCGGGTGGCCGGCGCGCGGCGCACCCTCAGGCATCGGCCGACCCTTCGGACCGCGTGGGGTCAGAGGTCGTGCTCGGGAAGTCTCGGCTCTGGGTTTTAGCGCTGTGCAGTCAGGAAGGGAGCATAGGATAGCGCTAGCCCGACTGACTAGTATCTCGGCTGATTCGTGTGGGGTGAAGGGAGCACAGAACCGGAACTGGTTGCCCTCCCGCCCGCCGAGCGACCAACGACTAATGCCCTGGAGAACCGTACTCATCTCGGCCACACTACCTATACCTATATTTCTCAACATGCGATGTTCAGAAGTGCCTCTAATTCACGAAAATGCTTATGACGTCACAATGCCCTATGCATGTTGGAGCCATTTTTTTACAATTTGGCGGTCAAAAATCAAGATAAAAAGATTGTGTACTGTGTATTGTGTATTGTGCCAAGCCAACCACAGACCCAGCGGCCCATTTACAGTGGCAGTCATGCCCATAAAAAAACACTACATACTACTGCAAAGCACGATACATTGTCTCAGATGTAAGCACCCTGAGAACTAGCGAAATCACACACATCAGAATGGATGCAGTTCGACGGAGCCAACATATCTGCGTTCGGAATTTTCTGTAGAAAATTGTTGCATAGCACAGGAATGCGAATGAAAAGTCCCGACTTTACAGTGTTTAATCTGCCGAATGCGACATGAAACAGTGCTGGCTGCCGAGAACGTCTGTTAGGGACCGCCAGACCAAACAGACTCAGAAGGTGAGGACAGTCGATCCATCCATGGTGCAGTCCCAAAACCAGGCGGAGATCGGCTTGAATAAAGCGCGATTTCAAAGAACACATGCCAAATCGAACAAGAAGCGTCTCATAACTCATGGGCAGGTTGTTGTTGGTGTTCCCCTCAGGGCCGGCTGGGGCCGGCCTGTAGCCCCATGAGGGGCTCCTTGTGGCGGAGGTAGCCGGCGGCCAAGGCCGCCACCAGCTCGCCGTCCTTCAGCTGCTCTGGTCGAATATGGATGTTGCCCGTCAGTCGCAGGCGGGCGCCGGCCAGGCACGGGCACCTGAGCAACACATGCTCCGGGGTGTCGGTGCCCTCTCTGCACACGATTCAGCGGGCTGCGGGGCACGCCTTGAGGTTGCACTGCTGGCAGGTCGGGATGGGGCGCCGCCCGATACGGTGCAGATACTGCTCCGAGCGACCCCAGTGCCCGGCCCGCAGCTGGTGGACGTTGACGGCGGCATCCCGGTCGAGGTTGTTGAGCGGGGCCGGCATACGGTCCCGCATGATGTCCCTGAAGAAGCTGGACGGCCATTCCTGCCGCCAGCGGTGGGAGGCGCAGCGTGCGACGGCCTTCGTTAGCGTCCTCACGTCTGTTGCTGCTGCCTCCTGGGGTAGGCCGGAGGCCTCCTTGGTCAGCTCATCGGCCCTTTCATTTTCCCGCAGGCCGCAGTGCGCCGGGACCCACTGGAGGCGGATCGGTGACCCTCGGCTGGAGAGAGCGAGTAGGTCCTCCCAGATGGAGATCCCTAGGTGAGTCGTCTGGGAGGAGGCGCCGCTCTCCAGCATCCTCAGGGCGGCCTGGGAGTCGGTGCAGATGACTATTGGGTCGTCTGCGATGTCGGCGTCGGCGTCTCGGATGGCGTTCAGGGCCGCCTTCAGGGCACACAGCTCTGCCCGCGTGCTGGAGCAGAGCTGACCCGCTGGGACTCGGACCTCCCGAGTCTCTCCCGACGGGAAGGTGATGGTGGCACCGCCCCCGCCTTGGGAGACGCCTCCCTCTGCCGAGCCGTCCGACCATATCCAGGTAGCGCGGGGCGGCAGGTGTTCCAGTGTGGCCTCTGCCGCTCCCCTCCGTATGTGCGCAGGGGCCGCTCTCTGGCCGCCGGGGCCGACGTCCAGGCAGAATGTCACGGCTTCTCCATGGTGGTCCCACGGTGGGATAGTCTTTGTAGGGCGTCCTTCCACTTTGACGTCGGCCACGCCTGTCCAAGCCAGGGCGCGGTGGCCGACGTCACGCCATCCGGTGGTCGTCCTCAGGCGGGGCGCGACGTGCATCTCCCCGACGGCGTGGAGCGGGTCGTCGCCGGGCAGCGAGGCGGCCAGGCCCACCATGCGAGCGGCCAGCGCCGGGCAACGTACTCGCGCCGGCGGGATGCCGGCCTCGGCCATCAGCGGCGCGGTCGGGGTCGAGGCCGTGCAGCCTGTGACCGCACGGGCCGCCGCTCGCAGCTCCCGCTCGATCAGCTCGACGTGAGCTTCAGACGCCGCCGGGAGCCACGCTGCTGCCGCGTACTCCAGGGCGCCCCGAACGTATCCGTTGGCAACGGTCCGTAGTTGCGCCTCCTGGAGGCCCCAGCTGCGGCCGGTCAGCTTCCTCAGCTGAGCCGTCCTGGGTTTCACTTTCCGGCGCAGGTTCTTGCAGTGTTCCCCGAAGTGGAGGAGTCTGTCAAAGGTGACTCCTAGGAGTCTCAGGTGCGGGGATCCTTTGACGATGTTCCGGCCACCTTGATCTGGAAGTCCTTGGCGTCATGGGACCACTGGGAGAGGACCAGGGCCTGGGTCTTTTCCCCGGCGATCACCATCTTCCACCTGTTGGCCCACCTGACCATCGTGTCAGCTGCGATCTGGGCTCGTTCTCTTGCCGTCTCCATCCGGCAGCTACCGCTCAGTGTGGCGGTATCGTCGGCGTACATGAATACGCTGGTACCCGGGACGCTCCTCAGGTCGCTCACCAGGTCGGCCGACCACAGGGTGTACAGGGTCGGTGCCAGGACCGAACCCTGAGGGAGGCCCGCTCTGAAGGGGCGCTCCTCGCTGAGGCAGCCGTTCACTTCCACCCTGGCGCGTCGGTCACGGAGGAACTGGAAGATCCAGTTTACCATGCATAGTGGGAGCTGGAGACGAAGCAGTTTGAGTTGTAGCATGCGGTGGTCGATCTTGTCATAGGCTCTGCTGAAGTCATACGCTACCAGCGCGAACTTCTCCGCCGTCTTCCCCTCGGTAGGCCGACCGGCGGGGCGGGGTCGGTTCCAGCCGTCCTGTACGGTCTGCACAAGGCGGCCGAGATTCTCCTCCACCGATCTTCCGCGCCGGAAGCCCACCTGTTCGGCAGGAATCAGGTTCCTCGCTTCGGCGATCTGGCTGAGTCGAGCGCCGACCATCCGTTCTGCCAGTTTTGCCACGTGGCTGGTGAGGGCTATCGGGCGGTATGACGTCACGGACTGCGGGTTCTTGCCGGTCTTCAGAATCGGGATGATGATGGCCCTCCGCCACGCGCCATGGTGGCGTCTGCCCAGGTCTGGTTGATCAGGCGCAGCAGTACGGCCTTGGCTGTGGGGCCGAGATGCCGCAGGTGCTCGGTGCACACCTGGTCCGGGCCGGGCGCTTTCCTGGACTTCAGCACCCGGATCTGGGCTTCCATTCATGCTGAAGGGGGCGCACGCCTCTTCTTTGGTGTCGAGGCACGTGCA